GCGCAGCAGCGTGTGCCGCCGCAAGGTGGCCCAGGCGCGCGAGAAGCGCTTCACCTTCGTGCTGGCCGTGGTCATGGGCGTGTTCGTGCTCTGCTGGTTCCCCTTCTTCTTCAGCTACAGCCTGTACGGTATCTGCCGCGAGGCCTGCCAGGTGCCCGTCCCGCTCTTCAAGTTCTTCTTCTGGATCGGCTACTGCAACAGCTCGCTGAACCCGGTCATCTACACGGTCTTCAACCAGGACTTCCGGCGGTCCTTCAAGCACATCCTCTTCCGACGGAGGAGAAGGGGCTTCAGGCAGTGACTCGCGCCCGTCTGGGGATCCTGGACAGCTCCACGCTCAGGGCTGGGCAGAAAGGGCGGCCCAGACGGGAGCTTTCCCAGAGACCCGGGGATGGATTGGCCTCCAGGGCGCAGGGGAGGGTGCGGCAGGGCAGGAGCTTGGCAGAGAGATAGCTGGGCTCCGGGGAGTGGGGAGGAGAGAGGGGGAGACCCCTTTGCCTTCCCGCCTCAGCAAGGGGCTGCTTCTGGGGCTCCCTGCCTGGATCCAGCTCTGGGGGCCCTGCCGAGGTGTGGCTGTGAGGTCAGGGTTTTAGAGAGCAGTGGCAGAGGTAGCTTCCTAAATGGGCGAGCAAGGAGCCCCCCGAAACACACTACCACTCCCCATCCCCGTCTGACCAAGGGCTGACTTCTCCAGGACCTAGTCGGGGGGTGGCTGCCAGGGGGCAAGGAGAAAGCACCGACAATCTTTGATTACTGAAAGTATTTAAATGTTTGCCAAAAACAACAGCCAAACCACCAAACTATTTTCTAAATAAACCTTTGTAATCTAATGTTGGGTGCCGCAGTCAGTCCTTGAGCTTGGGGGCTGGGAGTATCTTCCAGCCCCTCACCCTGCCTGACACCCTCCGCCTTCCTCAGCCCCGCAAGGCTGGACGGAGGGCACCCTGGGCCTCTGGGTTGCAACTTCCCTCTTGCATGAGAAGGAGGGGGTCTTGCTTTTTCTCAAGCTAACGCTTTATGTACATGGAAAATATGTACTCAAAATTCCCGTACTGAGAGTAGCGAAGAGGGGAAAGGAGCCTAGAACCCCCAAGTTATGCCCAAGTTTAGATTCTGGGGGACTGTCTTTCTCGCATTCCCATCCCTGCCCGTCCCCACTGATATTCAGAGCCTCCTGGTGGAAAGAGGTGGGGCTCTTCCAGTCCAAGCCTCCCGGTAGCTTTGAGCTAGTCCTCCGGGCTCTGAACGTTTTGTGGGCGTGGCTCTTGGGTGGAGAGAGGGTGGGCATGAGGCCGGCAAGCCCCCACACCATCATTCTAGACCAGAGGCCTGGCCAGAGCCAGGTTGAACAACAGGCACTTTCTTATTTCCTCAACAAACTGAAAGTCATTGAGGCCCCAGAGCAGTGGAGTGGGACAAGCCAGCAGTGGCTGGGGAGGGGCCTGGGGCCGGCCTGTTTCCTGCGGTGCCCTCAGTGTCTCCCCAGTGCAGCCCTGCCTTTCCCCCCTGCTCCACCGTCAGGCCCAGCAGGTGTCCCCACTGTCCCCACTGCTGCTTGAGGAAGGGCAGTGGAAGGTGGGGGATAGAATACCGAGGTGGGCTTCCTGGTGCTGTACCTTCATGGTGTAGGGACCGCTCAGACTCAGCCGTTTCACAGGGCCTGGAAGCTGCCAGGATGGCTGAGGTGGAGGGGCAGAAGTGGGCCCTGGGCCTGGTAGGAGCTGGGCAGGGGTCCCCGCAACACACACGCACAGCTCGGTAGGAGTGCAGGGGCTGTGTCAGGCCTCCTGCTTGTGACCATCCATTCCCCATTCCCGTCCCCCTTCCCATCTCTGGGAGGCCCCCCGGGCTTCCCTGTGTGTACCCTCCCCTCCCAGACCCTGCCTGCCCAGCTCAGCCCAGATCCATCCTGGATACCCACCTCGCTGTCTTTGGCATGGTGGGCCAGGGTCTGCCTGGGGAGGGGTCAGCCCTGGGTCCTGCGTTCTTCCGCGAGCCCCCGTCCGCGAAGTCAGGTTACAGAGCAGGGGGGCCTGACTTGCCAGAGTTGGCCCTTGGAGAACCCCCTTGCCGCAGCTGCCTGGCTTCCACTCCAGATAATGGGTCTTCAGGATGCCCCAGCTGAGAACTCTCCCAGCCGTGTCCACAGCTGGCATGTGCTAACGCTCGCACCTGCGGCGTGCTAGGCTCAGACACAGGTGGGAAGATGCAGACAGCAGTGGGGGCAGGGGAGGGGTGGAGAACATGGCCAGTCAAGGCCGATGAGGACATCCCTGACCTTCCCCGACCAGGCCTGGGCAGGGAGTCCTGAGCTGTTGGCCCAGCTTGTCCTGGAGCTGCTGCACTGGCTCAGACAAATCCCTGCTCTGTGGGTCTCGGTGCCCTACCTGGGAAGTGGAGGGGGTCCTGGGAGCCCTCTTGGGCCCTGCCAGGCCTGCCAATCTGTGGGGCAATCTATCCTCTGAACCTGGGACCGCAGGAGACCCCACCTCAGAGACTCTATGGCTGGCATCGCACCTAGGGATACTCCGAGGGCAGGCCTTGGGCTGCGAGGGAATCACTGCACACACATGGAGAAGACCCCAGAGCTCAGGATTTCTGCTCCAGAATCTGCATCTTACCAAGCTGGCAGGAGGGGCCCAAAATTCACAACTGCAAGATGGGAGGGCAGACCCCCAACCGCCCACCTGTCAGCACTCAAGACCCCCAGTCCCACCCAGGGCACCCTTCCCTTCAGAGCACCAGCATTTCGTGTGATAATTTGTACATTTCCTGGGGCTGAGAGAGGTGGGTTAACCTGCCTGAGGTCGCACAGCTGGTGATAAGACCTGACAGGGCCCAGGTTTCCTGGCCCCAAATTCAACCAGATAACAAGTATTTCTTGAGTATCTCCACCAGCTCCTACTGCCTCCCGGCAGGTCTTCAGGAATGGGCAACTTCCCACAGCTGAGGGCAGACCCCACGTGGAGGCACAGCATGAGCAAGGGGCTGGAGGTAGGAGGTGCAAGTATGTTTTAGGAAATGGGGTGCCAGTATGGGGAGGGGGAGACAACACAGACAGGAGGTTGGGCAGAGGGGCCGTGTGCCAGGCTGCAGGGGAGAAGCCGGTGGGAGGGTGTTTGGACAGAGTGTCAGGTTTTGATCTGAGCCCCTGGGGGCTGTGAGGCCTGCAGAGGAAGCACAACCTCCCAGGGCTGGAGCCTGCCCTGTCACATGCTTAGCAGTGTGGCCTATTGAGCATGTCATCTCCGAACCGCAGATCCTCCTCCCTGCAAGGGGATAACCACAGCCCCCCACACCCAGGGCTCCTGGGGGATTAACTGCGAGGATACAGCAGGGCACGCAGCCTGGTACACGCTCAGGGAAGAATGTCAGCAAACCTTCCTCCTCTTCCTGTCCTGACCCCGCCAGTCGCACCCTCCGGGGCTGTGGCCGGGACTGCAGCCGGCAGATGTTCACCACTCGATCTTGATTGCCGCCTGCAGAGACTTTCTTTTCAGCTGGATAAACAGACACGGAAACCTGGCTTCTCACCCTGCCTGCTGCAGGAACACGTCACCTTGCTCTGAGTCCTGGTCTCTTCATCCATGAAGGGGGCACTGACACCCACTCCGAGGGTAACATGAGCCCCGAGTGTCCCCAAACCCAGCCTGGGAACCACCTACCAAGAGGACTTCTCGATGCCCAGAGCAAGGCCCTCCCCTCTGCCAACCTGTCCACCACGGCCCCTGCCTCCCTGAGTGGCTCTCCTCTCCACGGACGAAGGCTGGGCCTGTCTCTCTTCTTCATGCCGACTTCATGGAGCCAGAGTGGCCTGATGTCAACCCCTGCCTGTGGTTGAGGAAACTGAGGCCCAGAGGTGACTATGTGGCCAGGGACCCCTAGGGGTGAGGAGGCAAACTGTGGACCCAGAAAGGTCCCTTTGCAGAGAGCCTGGGCTCTGATCCCACCCCGTCCCAAGCCAGTGCCCTAGGTAGCATGGGATGTATTCCTGGTCCGGGCCACAGAGCAGTGTTTTCCACGACCGGTTTCCTGTGCAGAGCTCCCCGTTGGGCTCTTGGGAGATTTCAGGCAAAATAAAATAAAGCAGCCACTACCGACGGAGGAGGGCTTGCCCTGCGTGGAGGGTGCCGGCTCGAACGCCGTCCTGCTCAGGGTTCCTGTGTACCTGGCCCAAGCCTATCACAGATGCAGCTCCTACCAGATATACATAGACATGCATATGTTTTCATTAACTCCTGTATTTTAATCCCATGGCTGAGTCGGTAGGAAAGGAGGGAAAAGAAAAAATCCAAATTATTCCATTGCAGCTCAGTGTGGAATTCAAAAGGAAATATTCCTTGGTGCAGGCAGCAATGTTCGTACTTTATAGAAGCAGCTCCAGGCTTTGGATCCTGCCCCCGACTCCGGGGGTGGGGGCTGGGGGTGGGGGGAAACACGTTGCCGTGGCACTTGCTGGCGAGGAAGCCGCCCTTCCCGGCTGTGCTGGCAGCCGGCTGTATTTTTATATCACATCCATCGGCAGGGCTCAAATATTCCAGTGCCGCGTCAGATCAAAACACACGGCGCCTGCAGGTCCATCTCCAGTCTGGTTGGACAGCCACGGCCCCTCCATGTCCCCGCTCCCATCAGCCCATGGTGGCCCCCACGTGCAAGGGGTGGGGGAGGAGCAGCCCTGTGTGGAGGGCCCTGTGCGGAGTGCCACAGGCACCCCTTTATGCAGGTACCTCCACCGTCCCTGGGCAGGCATGGGCAGCCTCCACTATGTGCCAGGGGAGATCTGAGGGTCATGACATGGATGTGGGCTGGGGCCTGACAAAGACGGGAGGGTCTCTAGAGCTGAGGAGCAGAGGAGGGAGACACCCAAGTCTTCAAGGCCCAGGGGAAGCTTTTCCGTCTTGAGGTCCCCGTTGTCCTCCCACTGGGTTTGCCTTGAGTGGCCAGGGGACCTCCGGCCCCACTCCCGAGGGTCCGCACCCTCTGCGACCCAGCAGGACCGTAGAGAGCATGGATTGCAGCAGGCAGTAGAGGAGGATGGGGAGACTGGGAACCTGACAGGCTCCCTGGGGCCACGCCCTGCCTGACCCACCAGTGTAAATAGGCTGCAGTGTCTCCTGCCAAGGCCAGGGCCTCTACTCTAGCAGGGCTCAGTGCCACCCCTCTGAGATCTGCCTGGGAAGCAGAGTCAACTGCAAACTCTGGGCCAAAAGAAAGCTCTGGGGACCAAAAATGCCTTTCCTTCCTGCCAAGAGGGTTTGTGGCTGCTCCCAGTAAAAGCCTTGGGTACAATACTGTTGTGATGGTCCTGATAAGGAATCAAACCAGGCAAGGCAGAGGTGGGGCGCTGGCCCAGAAAGCTCAGTTAAAGACTGAGCTTATGTCCGAGCACAAAACATGCCCAGAGCTGCCTGGCAGCCATGGAGAAAAGGGAAAAAGGATAGAAACTCCCTCTCACCACCTGATGCATGGTTGACAGGAAAGTCTGTAGACCAGGGGTTGGCAGCTAGACTCACCTAGAAGACCACCAGTCCCACAAGGCCTCCACAACTCTGGAGACTCTGCCTCCAGGGGAGGGTTTTGGGGACTGCAGAGAACCCCAGAGGGACATTCATGCCAGATTCTCTATTGGAGTGGGGGAATGGTCAAATCCCCATCCTAGCCTCCATCTCCAGCTGCACCAGACTGGGCCATTTTATGACTCATTTCAGCAACACTCCCGCCAGGCGCTGGCTCTGCACTGGGGAGGCTGTGGGGGAGGACAGCCATGGGGGAGTGGCTCCCAGCCCAGTGTCCCAGACTGGCCCTGTGGCTGTGCAGCCTCCACTGGCCC